GCATCAGGCAAGCCTTAATGCCAGTCTCATTTGACCTTGGAGTACAAGTAATTGTTCCCTGCTTTGTTTCCCTGGAGCTGAAAGTTATTAGACCTGAAAGGAGCCTGAGAGATCGCTGTCCCAGCAACAGCCAAGGAAACTGAGGCCGGGAGATGGGAAGCAACCGGCCTGAAAGCCACATACCAACTTTTCCTAGAAGCCAAGCCTTGCAAAGCCCACCCAGATGACTATACTATGCTCCCCTTCCCTGCACTTCGGAGGCATAAAGAACCTCACATTTCCTTCAGCTTCGTATTCCATTTGGCTCTTCAAGAGTCTAAAGTAATTCCAATGAGCCTCCCTGTGCCCTGTCAGAGACTGGAGCATATTAAGGGCAGGAAATTAGGCAGGGGTGTGTTTGGAGATCCGGTGCTGATTACTCTTCCACTCAGATTGTGCACCTACCAATACGGAATGGGTTTCTCTCTAATTTATTAAAGGTCGGTGAGCACGGATTGATAAAGGGAAGGCCAAGTCTGATACATTCGCCGAAACTGAATTCTTGGGCCACATGACCAAATCAGCAGACATAATTTATCTGAATTTCAGAAGAGCATTTAGTGCTGTACCATAGAACAGATGCATTTGCTAAGGCGAGGCATTGTGTGACGGTTAAGTGTCAGGTGGCAATTCTGGAAACAGGTTTAAAATGGCCCAGAACCCAACACTGGGTGCACTGACAGGAGACACTTAAGAGTACAGACAGAGAGGTCAGTCTGGGGGTCATTATTTCAAAGTCCTTGACCCTAATTATAATTTAATTTCTACAATGGTCATATCTCTTGAGAGCGAAATTGGGATGAAGGGGACAGTTTTAAAAGGAACAGACTGAAAACAAGTTCTGAATTTCTTTTTTCATTCAGACCGGCTCAGGGATGAATGAGTTATTCTTCCATCAGATGAACACAAATAAACAAAAGAGAAAAGAAGCCAAAGACTTCTGTCCAACAAAGAAATGCAGTGAACTCTGAACATGACGGCCAAGGCAGGCAGTGGGTTTCACTAATACTCCAAACTCGCAGAGTCTGAATGGATACCTCGAGAGGAAGAGAAATGGCATTTGGTGTTCCTGAGATATAAATAGGCTCAAATAATTACATAACTGTGAGTCATTAATATTCCTGCTATGGCCTCAAAAGGCACGAGCTCCTAACTCTGGTTTGAATTTACTTCTTCTTAAAGTCAAGATTTATGCATCAGCTTTCCATCTTTATGCAGGCAATATGGAATGGATTTCTCTGTAATTCATTAAAGGCCGGTCAGCATGGATTGATAAAGGAAACCCCATGTCTGATATATTTGCTTAAATTGAATATTTCCTCTGGGCTACTGCAAAGGTGACCTGAGGTGACTGAAATCAAGAATTCAGCCAGACAGTGTTAAACTGAGATCTATGTCTAATATCCTCACAAACTCCTCAGGAGCCCAAAACAAAGCAGTAGCCGAATGCAGCCTCATTTTCTTAATCGGGAAGAAGCTGTGGTTTTTGGGCTCCTCAATGACTAGTTTCCAGGTCTGCCTGCAAGGTTGAAGCTAAGGATGTCCACAATACTACAGTGGCCTTGAGCATGTGTGTACTTTCACATATTGTTCTGTCTCCATGCCTCACTCGCCCACTCCACCCTGGATACCTGTCAAAGTCAGCTAGACACCGCAGCCATCTCTGGCTGACACTTACTTCCCTCTGGGATGCTCCTCTTGTCTGGAACTATGGAAGGTGTGATGGCCAGTTTTATCTGTCAATTGAAAGGGTGTTTTCAGATGAGATTAACACTTAAAGTAGTGAACTTTAAGCAAGTAGGTTGCCTTCCATAATTTGGGTGGGTTCCATCCAATCCGTTGGAGGCTTAAATAGAACAAAAAGAGAAGCCTCTCTGAAGCAAGAGAGAATTCTCTAGCAGACTGCTTTCAGACTCCATCTACACCATGAGTTCTCTTGGGTCTCCAGGCTGCCTGTCCATGCTAAAGATTTGCATGTGCAAGTCTCCATAATCATATGTACCAATTGCTTATAACACATTTGTTTTCATATATATATAGTGTATATATGTGTGTATATACACATGTATATACACACAATATGTGTGTGTGTATACACAAACACAAATATACATCATGTTGGTCATGTTTCTCTGGAGAACCCTAATATGCAGAGATACTAATAATTATACTTCTGTTCAGATTTGGGTAGCCTCCAACTTCAGGTAAGCTTCCACTTCACTTCCCTGTTTCTAGGAAACTCTTGAGATCTGCAGTTTTGAAAAAGAAGTCATGGAACAGTAATGCTACAGGATTGTAGTAGCAGGGATTAGATTGTATATCCACTCTAAGAATCCAGAATTCCAAAGATGTTATCCTGACTCCTACAGTTGGAAGCTGCTACTCTTTTAGCATTTAAGACATAAACTCTTTGCATCCTCTTTCCAGCTTTTTTTTTTTTTTTTTTTAAATCAGCTTTTACTGGGAAACGGTGGCATTTCCCGGAGAGCAGCCTGGAAGGCTTTGAGTGCCAGTACCCTGAATCTCCTTCCTAACAATCTCCTTGAACCATCACCATACTCTCCTTGGGGCACCATCCCTTCATCCTTAAGAGCCACAGGGAGTTCATGTCTCCTTGTTTTGGCCAAAAGCTTAATTCCAGTCTTCCAAAGCCTTTCTCATTTCTACCGTGGTATCTAGCATCAAGAATGTCCCCATGGAGAGCGTCCTAAACCCAAGATGGAGAGTGGGACTACATCAATCCAATTCCAGGGTAGTCACTGAGAACTAAGGGGGAAGCTGAACCAGAGAAAAGGGAGAGAATACAATTTTTGAATAAATATATTGGAATTATTATTGTTGTCAATTACACTGTCAGTTCATTTCTGAAACAAGGCAAGGAAGACAGAACAAGTTTAGCTGGAATGAAGACAAGAATGTCTTCCCACACCTGCCCAGTGACACAGAAACCCCCGGTACCCCAAGAGACCCAGGCAGAAGCAGAGCAGGCAGAACCTCATGCTCCCCTCAAGGATATGAAGAGTGGGGAATGGATGCATCCTGATGGCAGTGGGGGAGGTCATGGCATGTCCATCCTTAGCTTAACTTTAAGCTCCTGAAGTTGTGGATTGAGGATTCTTACAGCGTATAAGCCTTTCATTGGTTGAAAAAATAAAATGGATCACCTTAAAAAATGGATCCTCCTTCTTCAAAGACAAATGAGACTAGAAAATGACTAACATATATGCTTTGTGAAAGTGGGGTTTCTGGATATCTGCACTGACAATCAAAAAGTGGTTTCAGGATATGTGTCGGGAAAATAATTCGTGAAGACTTTTTCTTTCCTACCAAGTCTTCCAAGTTATAGGTAGCTTTTTTAAAGTAATTTTGCTGTTTATAAATCTGTAAGTAAAAGATACAAGGCTCTAAGAACATATATAAGTCTAAAGGATTTTTTAGCCAAATAACTCTTTCATCTCTTTTTTTTTCCAAACTTATAGTAATGTTGAGTAATAACAGTATTTGACCATATTGGCTTCTCAGGCCTCCAGTGGTGCTCTGAAGTGTTTCCAAGCTGTGGGCAAAGATTTGAGAAATGCTCTCTTGGTTCTATCATGCATGTCATCAAGACTTAGATTGGGTATACCAAAAGAGCTTTGTTCACACACACGATCTGGTCATTCCTTTCCACATTCTAATGGTCCACCTCCCACTTTTACACCCAAGATGATTTACAGCAATAACATCCAATCACAGCATTCCCTTTCAAATGCATTTGCAGCACAGAGACATAGATTTCTTCAATTCTTTAATAGAGATGATACAGAAAAGCAAGCTTCCAGAATGTCTCATTAAAAAAAATAGGACATAAAGACTGGAAACCATCCTGTGCTCTGTTCATTTCCTGTGTCATAATTACATAAATTATCTTTGGGGGCTGGAAAAACAAATTCTTATTTCTCCGGTACAGTTTTCCAAATCCATATGTGGATAGACGGGACAGTTTTCTATGCGAGTGAGAAACTGGCCAGGAGGGTAATCAATGCAAGTCTGCAGGATTGTCCAGGGCTCCTGGCCCATGTATGTGTGCACACCCAACCTCAGTGGGACCCGGCCTACACACCTATTAAATGGGCCATCAGGTGCCACTGTGCCCACTGCACTGACCATAAGACATAAGGCCAAGAAGGTGAGGTCACGTATCCAAGTTCTTTTACAAGCCATTTAGAAATGGAGCTGAGGAGACTCAGTGCTGGGCTGTGACCTCATCAGCCAAATGGATCTTTGGATAAGATCACTACCTGGCTTTCCTCCAGAGGACTGCCGTGGTGAGAATCTTGAACTTGATTTAGAATAGAGCCTTCTGAGCCCTGCCTACCACCCTGTACCTCACACAGCTATTCAACTGCAGAAAGACAACAAATATAGAGAAAGGGAAGGAAGAATTTTGTGGCATCTTGTCTTCTAGTCCTTGATGCAATCACAACTTTCAAACTTTACATGTGATGCTGGTTTTGATGTGATAAATTCATATTTTCTTGAGCTGCTAATATAATAATTTTTTAAATTTAACATGGGAGGTAAGGAACAGAAGGTATTTCCTACAGTGATTCTGTGGAAGTGTTTGGGTAAGGCCACCGTTGTAGGGCCATAAACTAGCTACCCAGTGCCATTTGAAACACTGCCAATTCACTTATCGCTAACATGTTTCTTAAGAACAGAGCCTCTCCTCTCTCCTTCCCCTGTCAGCTTGCCAAAAGCTTTATATTGCCACAACCAGCGACAAAATGGGATGGGATAGAAGTGTGCATTAATTGTATTCTGAAGCCTGCCATAAATTCGCTGCAGTGAATCTGGATGGGAAGATTAAACAGCATTTAAGGACATTTTCCAAAAAATTACTTGAGGATAAAATAATGGTTTGTGTAGGACAGAAATAAGATGACACAAGATGACTCTGATTTATGTGTGTTGCTTGCCAGGTCACTGCTCTTCGGAGGAAGGAGTGAAGTCTTCATTCCATACAATGCTCCACAAAAACCTACTCAATATCCTGCCCATAGTGTCCATTCACTGAATAATGCCATTGCCTGGTGGGCCGAATCATGAACGAGGCTACTTTATGGGCACCCCGGGGACATAGCAAATATTAGGCTTTGAAGAAAGAAGTGACAAGTACTTAACAAGGAAGAGATTGAGAATATGTGATAAAATTACAAATAAAGGAACCAAGGGTTAAACAAAGTTAGGATGGTCGTGCAATTTATTGTCCAGGCTGATATATGTTTGAGAGATAAAGGAAGCACTATAAACATTATACCAGGACAGCAGGCATAAACTGGAACTATCCTGTCCAACGAGGTATAGGCAGCCTAAGCACATGAGTTCTCTAGCAAAGGAACTTCAGTACTACAAAGAAAGTGTATCTATGAATAGCATGGATTGATGACAAGGTCAGAAAGAGGTACTGTGTTAGCATTTTAGAGCTGCCATCACAAAATGCCACCGACTTGGTGGTTTAAACAACAAAAATTTATTTTCTCACAGTTCTGCAGGACAGAGGTCCAAGCTCAAGGTGTTGGCAAGGTTGGTTTCTTCTGAGGCCTCTCACCTTGGATTGCAGGTGTCCATCTTCAGCATTTGTCTCCACATTGTTTTCCCTCTGCATATGCCTGTGTCTTCATCTCCTCTTTTTATAAGGACACTAGTCATACTGGGGTAGGGCCCGCCCTAATCCACCCGCCATTTAGCTTAATTACCTCTTTACACCTGATGTTAGCTGGCAGTCTGAGAAGAAATTAATTGCCTCTTTAAAGACCCTATCTCCAACTACAGTCACATTCTGGGGCACTGGGGGTTGGGATATCAACATACAGGTTTGGAGGGGACACAACTCAGCCCATAACAGGTACTGATTCCAACAAAGACCAGAGTTTGTGCTTCCAAAAATGGCTGGGCCCTTAAAAACAAACAAACAAAAACAAACACAATAAAAAGATCAAGGATTCCCAGATTCTGAGATTCTCAGACTCCCCAGGTAGAGGTCACTGGAGGCTGTGGTCACATGCCAGCCCAGCAGATGGAGCCAAGTTTCACAATTAAGAATGGGAACCATGTTTCAATGTTTAACTGAGATGTCTACAGGTCCTGACAAATTGGTATAAATATCAGCCATTGAGCTAGAGCGGGGTGCGGGAGGCTTCCTGCTGTGTCTAGGGCTGACCTTCAGTTGCAGGATAATGAATAAGGCCTGCTGGGTGAACGCTGGAAGAATTAGGGCAGCAGGGGTTACTTGGTGATCAAGGAAATAGCTATTTACTAACCATATAGAAATATGTCAATATTTTAGCAAATAGTGCAAGAGAGTTGAGTCTTACCAGTTCCTAGGTATATGGTTTTGTGTAATAACACCATCTCTTCGGGCTTTAGTTTTCTAGTTTGTGTGAAAGCTACGTGTTTACTAGGCTCAGGTACTTGAAGTTCAAGGTATGGTCATTGCCATGTTAACAGTTTTTTCTTAAGTTTATTGACTGGCACAAAAGTCCCACCTTCCAAGGGTACCCATTTCCTTTGCTTTTTTCCTTTTCCATTCCCCTTTCTGTCACTCAGGAATTATCTAGGAGGGTAACAGAGGTCTCTCTCATGCAGTCAGTCAGGACTTTTAGCTTGACATGATGAAGTCAGCTTTTGAAAGTAACCAGTTGACACTTTAAGAATAAAAATCCAGAAAGCTTTCCATGGACCAGGGAGGATTTTCAACCTCATCCAAGAGACCAGATCTACTTACATGGAACAATTAAAATCTTTTGGTAAGCAACAAATTGTAAATTAACAATTTTGTATGTACTTGAACTGTGCTCAATTCCCTGGATTTTTTCATCTTGTGGTCTGGGCATTGGATTTTCCAAATTCAGAAAGATGAAGCAAGTGACAGACAATACACGGAGCATGGTATTAAAGGCTGCTGAATTGACTGAGCTGTGGTGAAAGTTCAGCAACCCCCAGCTTGGAAGCAGCTCACCTAGAAAATATTTTCATCATTTCAAGTTGTGTCACCCAGAAAATAATGACTATTCACTATTTCTGCCATAATCTAAAATAGTAAGAAATGGGCATAAGAAACAATTATAAGGAAGTATTCCTGAGGTACCAGAATTCCTGAGTGAAATAGCATAATTTTGTGTTTTTACAATGTTTAAAATCAAAGCAGAGACTCTTCTCTGGAGACAGCAGGATGAAAACATGACTTTTAAATGTTCGATCTAGTTTTGTATGATGATTAAAGTACTGAAGACAGTAAAAGCCAAAAATTATGTGTGAGGCTTTATAGGCAAGGAATAGGTGTCAGTTCTTTAAAGAACACACACACACACACACACACACACACACACACACACACACACAAGTCTGATTTTCTTTCCTGGATTTATTGTAAAACCATTTGCAGAGGAATCTGGGGGAAACCCTGGAACAAGAGATCGTTTTATGTAGTACATAACTCCAGCCAAAGACCAGACATGTAGCTCACCCCTGCCTGACAGAGGAATTGGGAAATCCACCAAGCAAAGAGAGGATTATGTTGTATTGGAGCTAAATCTCAGAAGAAAATATTGCTGGGAGGATCTTCATACTTTTGTTTCTAATACGGAGGATGGAAAAAGGAGGGAGATAATGACCACCAACAGTGAATAGGAAAATGTAACTAAATATGGCAGCTCCAAGAAGACAGATGGGAGGGGGAATCCCAAAGCGCTCAGACTCACTTTAGAGTTTACAGGTGATGATTCCCTTTGATTCATGGTTGCCGTTCTTAAGGGCAAAAGAACTTAGTTGGCTAAAGATGGGATACAAACAGAAAGAAAGGCTACTCCAGCTGGGAAAACAAAAGATGTTTGGGATGATGTTGATGAAAGCTTTTTTAAAGTGAGAGGTACAGAGAGAGTGTAAGAGGAAAGCAGCTGGAGTTTTTCCAGGTCGGCTAATGACGCATGGAGCTGCTGACACAGCAGTTCATCCAGCCAGTGCAAGAGAGAGCCGCCTTGGGGACCTGCCCTTTCTCTTAGGGCTGGACCCTAAGAGCCCAGGGCGGAGAGGCTTCACCACTTGGTTTATAAGACTTTTTTTTTTTTCTTGAGCTCTAATTTAAATGCTCACCACTGGGACACACTTAACTAAAACTCAGCTTAATTTTCCTGTTTTTGGAATTTGTCCCCCTTAGCAGGTATTTAGTTTCTAAGATCAGAAATCAGCAGGGGAGAGGACGTTCATCTGGGTTATAAAATAAAATGAAACGCCTCCACTTTTTCATCCTCGGTTACTCAAATGCCTGGTGCTTTGCTCATGAGGCTGAGAAAAATCCAAACTGGATGTAAAATGCTCACCTAGTTGGTGATCATTTACTCATCCCAGGGACTAAGGGAACTGTGGGTCTTGGTAATTGTGTCTGCTGAGTTGTGAAGCTGTGCCTATGTGATTGGAAATGTAAAACATGGTGCATGATGAAATGTTACATTTTAATCTCTCTTTTTTCATGCTGTTTCTCCAACTGAGACAAGATGACATCCAGCACAAAGCCAACATACTTGATGTTCTTCAAATGTATAACTTCAAATTGCAGATCCCCATTATCAGTAAGTGATCTCTAGCCCCTCCTTACATAATGTCAGTACGGGGAACTTACTGCCTCTGAAAGTTACTCATTCCACCTTCAGAATTTAGTATAGGATAGACCCTAAATTTGACAAAGGTTCTTTCCAGGTGACAGCAATAAGGTTGATGTGTTGATGTCTGAAGCCTGTGCTCACCTGAACCCACACCGCAGAAACTGCCTTCCTATTTATAATTCACTTCTACAGCCAAGCTCTTCCCATACTATCAGGTTTTATGGAGGAACAATTCAGATGCATTAGTGTTTGGCCTCATTTTGGTGATAATGCTTTACCTCTAGCACAATGGATTCAGTTTAGACCTTGGGAAGAATTTCCTCATATGAAGGTTTCTACACATTGGAACAGTTACTATGGGGAGGAGTGGAGTGTGAAGAATATCCTCCAAATACCTTTCAACATTTTACCAATTCTAATGCCTCCATGACAGTGCTGCATTATGGCCATGTCTGAAACAAAAGAATGTACTAGCTGTCCTTTCCTTCATTATGTCAGATACCTCTCAAATAACAACGGGATGGTCCCAGAGATTAGTCCACCTCAGGGGTTAGCAAACTATGGCCTATGGGCCAAATATATTGCATTGCCTGTTTTTGTAAAGCCTTGTGGGTTAAGAATGGTTCTTTTCTTGCTGATGGTTGAAAAATGATCAAAGAAAGACTTTTTTGTGACGTGAAAATTACATGAAATTCAAATTTTAATACCCATAAATAAAATGTATTTTTCTTGGACAACATCCATTTATGTGTTGTCTGTGGCTGATTTCACATTACAAGAACACAGTCAAGCAATGGTAACAGAGACTGTATTGGCCAACAAAGCCTAAAATATTTTTTCTCACCCTTAACAGAAAGATTTGCTAACTTCTGATGTATGTCCTCCCCAAATCTTCCTGATCATATTGCGTTAAATTCAAATATAGTCTTTTTGTAGTTCATTGTTTATAAACCTTTCTATATAATACCTGGCACATAATCAATTCTTCATAATGCTTAATGAATAAATACAACCAATAATTTTATTATAAGACAAACAGAATAAGATAATAGACACTCTGAAGATGAAAAACCAGTGATCTTGTTAGAAACAGCACAGCACTGTGCCTATTGATCAAACTGTGCCTATTGATCAAAAGTTTTTCTTGATCAATAGGTAGAGTTTGCACTAAAATGCCTGCCATTTTCTCTGTATGAGATCTGAAACTCAACAGCCTGTGCACTGGTTCTAGACCCTGGCTTGTAATTACAAAGCAAAATCCTCTAATGCCAATAACAAGACCAGCCTCTATACCTTTTAAGTGCAATCTTCTTAATTATAAGCAGCCACTGACCAAAGACATCAATTAGAAGGGAGATTTCTAAACCCTGGGGCAAGAGTTTAGTTAAAAACAACTTGGGAAGTGGTTTAACTCCTTGGCTATCACCCACCGTCAGCACGCAGCATTCAAAGCAGATCCATTATTTCCTGTAGCAGGGAAGAAAATAACCACTCTGTGTTTCTAGTTGGGTGGCTCCTCTTTTCTAAACACCATCACCCCATTTAAAGCCAATGCAGAGGAAGTGCAAGCAGGGGATAGAT